AGAAGCCTCGATCAGTGAATTTATTAAAGTCCTTTATCAGAATGTGTTTCACCAGGAAGGGCTCCAAAATAAACGCAGCTGGACGCTGGAACCAATAAAATCCGGCAAAAGGTCCAGTTCCCCTGAATTTATTGTAATACTGCATCCAAATGTCCAGGAACGATCGTTCAGTCTGCACGCCCTTCAAGTTGCCCATCAGAATGTGGGGCTCCTCGCAGGGAATGCCCGCATTTTGCCAGTGCTGCATGTTGCGATGCATTCGCAAGTATAGATAGCCCAGGAGGGCAATCGCTGCCGTGAGCAATAAAATTCCGATAGCCATGGTCGCGCCCGGTGCAAGATAGCACTCACGAGAAACTGAGAGCAGCCAAGCTGAGTTTTCATATTAAATGCCCGCTCGAAGCTTTCATTGTATACATTATAATACCAAATACGGGTAGCAAAAATAGAATTCCGAGAGTAAAAGCTTTTTTATTCAATTATTAGCTGTGATCTTGTGCAGGGCTGAAGTGCATTTGTGATATATGTATATAAAGCAAACATTTTGGTATACTATTTATATAAAATGTAATATATATACACATATACATAGATATATTGTATTAACTGTAAATATTTCATTCTGCACCCATTGTATAATACTAATTATCAAAAGGCATAATTCCGGGTGCTTATCTATTATTGATTGCGCTCTGGGTGTGTTGTATGTTACGCACTATTAATCGTACAGTGGGAGGTATTATCATTTTGAGCTGCAAATGTTTTTTTATATTTATGTAAAATTAAATAATAAAATAACCGAAGGCCACACAGAAATTGAATTCTAAAATGTTGATATAAAAAATTTAAATAATAATATAAATACAATATAACAACATTGATAATGAACCAAAATGGCCTACTACACTTAATATAACAAGCGGTATAAATGTATGACCTTTATTGTTTCTACAAAAAGTACTTTATTTTGAATAAAATGTTTTCGCTGCCAAGCCAGCTGATTAAACTCGCTCAACTTTCAGGTAAATGCCGCCGTCGCTAGCTATCAAGAAGCTCTTTTTGTCATATTTAATGGGTATCGTTGTCTTATCGCACACTGAAAACTTAAAGTGCTTAATAAGCATTGCGAGGCCAATGCGTGCCTGCATTTCTCCAAATCGCA